GTGTTCTGTCCCGCGTTCACGAACGCTGTCTTCTGGTCTGCTGGCCTTCGAAAGAGCGCCAGGCCAGGCAAGAAAACGCAGAAGAGAGTCTTGCTACCCTGAGGCACTTGGGGAGTTTGGCCTTTGGCTCTCTCATCCTAGCCATCGTTTCTTGGCATGGCCATTGGACGCAGTCACCACTTCATGACTCGTTGTGTATCCTCTGCTCCTGCCGAAACGGGTGCATGCTGCAAGGTGCAGTGGCTGAAGTGGTTCATGCGTGCCTTGGTTGCATAGTCCTCTTGCGAGATCGCACAGCGCAGCATTCCGGGAATGACACAGATGAGACACCCTTTTGGTCTCTGGCATTTCGAGGCTTCCTCTCAGAGCAAGCGAAGGCCAGCAAGAATCGGGTCCTGCGTGTCATCTTTTGCATTCTGGCCTGCTGCATCTGGTGCTTCGAGCGACTCGGTCGGCGTGTTTAGCGAGTGCCGAGAGCCTTGTGATTCTTGAACCTTTGCATTATACCTCCAAAATTCCAAGCCGAGGAAGCTCATCAAGTTCCTCAACAAGACGCCTGTTTCTCCTGTTCTGTCTCTGTCGTGTTTGGCTCAGCCTGCAGCCTGGCGCTCAAAGGAACGCCTACATCCAGATCGCGTTGAATGGCACGAACTTCTGCACTTCTGCCGCTCAGATGGCAATGTGCGAAAGCAATGAAGCATAAATGAATTGCGTGACGTGGCGTGTTATGGCACGTCACGACGATGGGCGGCCCTGTAAGGCCAGGAAAGCCTTCGAGCTGATCCTGCGGAACATCATCCGCTTTGGTGCCCTCTCTATGCTGGGTGCGCTGATTCGTGGTGTAGGCCACCTCACTGAAGCACACGCCACCTTCAATCCTGGACTTTGAAAGCAGGAACGACTTTCACGTGCACTGCAACGGCAATCACAGGAGCCTTGGCCAAAAAGACCCTGGTGCTCGCAGCGCGTTTTCGTGTTTCATCTCCGACAGCTGAAGCCAGGCTGAAGCCATACGTACATGGATACGAGAGTGTGCATCTGTGCGCGCATGTGTGCGGTCCGTGTCCAGCCCAGGATATTTCGTGATGCAAGCATTCTATCCTGAGATCAGTGCTGCCCTGAGCAAAGGCAGCCTGCAATTGGTCTTTGGCTGCACGAGCCTAGGTCCAATCCTCAACATCCTCACCTACGTCCTTCTGGGTTTCGTCACGGGACGCTTATTCCTGAACCTGAACTCGCTCAGCTGCGACACCATCATGCAGTGCTACATCATCTCAGAGGCACCAGAGAAAACGTCCCAGTCATCTTCATATGCCCCAAACCTGGCGAGGAGGCCGAGATGAAGGACCGGTCAGACTTTGTCCCGACGGAGCTGAAGGCTTTGATGAAGGATCAGGACTTGAAACACAGCCCCTCGGCCTGGGTTCGTACGAAAGCGTAGAAGAAGCTCGATGATTCAATCCTTCCTTTATCCAGGCCCTCACAGCCGGCAATTGTGCAGGCTGGTTCAGTGCTTAGCAGCATCGGTGGTAAGGTGCGGACCACGGAAGCTGCTGCTGCTTGCCCTGCTGCTGACTGGTCCACTCCTCACTTACTTTCCACTCCTCATTCGCCAGTTGGCCGGGTACTAGCGGCCTGGGCTTGAGCTTGCTCGGCACATGAGGCAGTGGAGCCAATGGAAGGCTGGCCTTCACTTCGTTCGGTTTGGGCGTTTTGGTTCCCAGACCGTGCCACAGAGCTTGGATAGAGGAAACAGGCCGCTACGACGGCAACACCAGGTTACTGGGTTCCAAGGCGCAAGCGGCTGAAAGCTGTACACATGAAAGTGCTGGCACGCAAGGCCAGCGAATTGAACTGCATGCGCATGCCTGTTTTTTTTGGTCCTGGGCCTTGTCGTCTGACGGCTGTGCGTTTGATCTGATGCCGGATTAAACAGTGTGTCATGGACTCGATCTTGGTGTTTTTTTTTCTGCCTTCATCGCCGTCAAAGGAGACCGGGTCTTAATTGCAAGGAATTCGAGTGGAGTACAGAGGATACTCGGATCCATGCTCGGGCGCTGAACTCGTCTTAGCCCATCTCCGCGCATTTAAAGGGAAGGCCGGGAGGCTGCTTTTGTTTGCACATGTTTGCAGCATCTTTGACCTTTGCTACCGTGCATGGGCGGTGCCTGCGTTTGCGCAGCACACTGGAATCAGACACATGGTATTCCGTGTCAGCCTATAGCATTCAATGTCACAGCGCGCAGCATAGACATGTCAGCGGAGCCCGATACAACCACACCTGGCATGAAGCACATAATCGCAGTATCTGTTGGAGTTGCGCTCGATGGCACATGAGCGCGGAGAGCAAGCGAAGGCGCACTGGCGAGACCTGCGCTTGGCCGCAGAGTCAAGAGGCGTGGGAACCGGAGCAGCACAAAGGCTTTCCAGGTGACGGCCTGGAGCCGCTGGTCGAGGTTGCGCCGGAGCGGCCGCTGCCCGAAAGCATGAGTTTTCTGGGCTCTTGTGCAAACAGTGCAGAAAGAGCCGTCCCGAAACGACTGCCAATGCCGCTCCCACCGCCACCTCCGCTGCCGCCGATTCTGCCAAGACCAGCCTTTTCACGGTTGCACGCTGGCGTTCCTGTGGCCACTTCCGAGGGGCTCCGATTAGGCCTGGGCCTGCAGCACTGCGCGAAGGCCTCCAGCAAGGCTCCAGCCGCAGCCTTGCGGCCCTTGGTGCGGGGCCGCGGGCAACGCTTCGGCTCCCAGAGCTACCTGCGCTCCTGGGACCTCAACGAGCCAGGACAACGTCTCGAGCCGGATCCGTCTCCCAAGCTCACCCGGATCCTCCAATCGCTGGTTCCCTTCGAGCTGGCGGCATCTGCGGAGCAAGAGGCCTGCGCGATTTGCTACGAGTCCATGCAGGGAGAGCTTGTGAGGCGGCTGCCCTGCATGCACATCTTTCACGCAAACTGCATAGCTCGCTGGCTCCGTGTGAGGATGTGTTGTCCACTGGACAAGTGCGAGGTCGAGCCCGTTGAGCCCTCCTTGGAGGCAAGACGACACGACCCACCACGCGGAACCGCGGAATCCGCGGAAGAGGAGGTGCCTTCTTCGGATTCCTCGCCCCTCTACCAGCCCAGCCCATCAAGTTCGCCATCCTCAAACGAAGAAGATGTCGAGGAAGCCGGCAGTCCTGCCGTGACAGGACAGGAGCCGCTTCTGCTTGTAGAATGACAACATGAGGCCACCCTCATGCGGAAGAAGTTTCACCCGACAAAAACTTGCTGCGGCGCCACAGAGCGGGCATAGGAGTTGCAGGGAAGCTGTCGAGTCTGCTGTCAGTTCTGGTGTCAAGGCACGTGGTCAAGGCGAGCCGCGACGCAGGCCGACAGGCTCCTCACTTTCCATGTCATGCGATGCCGTCACACCAAGCCGCAACATACTCCGCGTCAGAATCCTGTCCACCACCAGAGCTTTGGGCAGCTTGGGCAGCTTCGTGTGCAGTGTCAAAGTAGCCAGGGCGAAGAGACAAGAGAAGCATTCGTGCCGAGCCATCGAAGGTTGACTTTCAACTTCTTGGGTGCTCGTCAAGTTTAGGGTCCGAGAAATGTTCAAGTTTTCGAGGTTTTTGGGCATCCTGACCCCCCTGAAACCACTCCGAGGTGGATGAGTCCAACTACTGGTAAGTCGACTGAGTAGATCGCTTCATCGTCACGATTTAACACGGATACGGCATCAACTTTGTGCAGGCAAAGACCTTTGAATATCACTCGCGTCGACAGAGCACGGGTGGGGTTTTAGGATCTCTGTGCCTGATAGCACATCAACAGTGGGCTCCTCCCGGCGGATCTGCTTGCTAGGGCTGTGAAGCCTGTTTCCTTCCAGGCTGACAGCACTGCCAGCTGGGGCCTTAGAATGCCGCAAACAGTTTCGTTGGGCGCTGATGCTCGTGTTTTTTTTGTGAGGCGCTCTGTCCATAAGCCGAGAGGATCTCTGTGGTCCCGGGGCCGTAAGTCACCCCCTGGCATTGGCCCTGGCCGCGCACAGAGCTCTGGGCTCTTGAGATGCTTGGCCCCGGGGCCGGGGACGAGCGTAATGGCGAAGAGCCCATGTTGACGTGCAAGAAAAAAAGAGCCCGTGGCAGCCGGAAAGTAGTTCTTGCTACGACTCGTCGGTGATGGCTTCAATTATAGGAGGAAATTTCACAGCTCGGGCTCCAGCACTGGCTGCCCCACGAAGCCGGGCGCGTGGCTGCACGCGCCTAGGAGGCCGGGCGCACGCGGAGCTCTGCGGGTTCATCAATAGACGAGCAGACCTGGACCTGGACAGCTACGTCGCGCACCCTGCAAAGACACCCTCAGATTTGAATTTAAAACGTATCCTATTAATATATACTGAGCGCTGTTGCACCAAGCGCAAGACTTCCGTCGCACAAGGCACCAAAACCAAGTAGTTACGAACTCGCAGTTTCGCAGTGCACTTAAGACTTTCGCCATGGCGCCATGTCGAGCCCGTGGAGCCCAGGACACGGGATCAGATCTGCTCAGCCCAGCCTCTGGCAGGGAGTCATGTTGTTGCACTTCGGGAGAGAGAGAGACGCCAAGAAGAGGAGAGCGTGGGAGCGCAGAAGGGGGGGAGGGAGCGCAGTTAAGGAATAATTACAGTATATATACAGTGTGTGTTCTCCTCTAATGGTGTTCGTGAGGGTGAGAGCGGCGAGGCAGAGACCTTGCGTTACTGGGAGCACGTGCAGGAAAGAGCACGAGGTCGGACCGGCAAGTCAGGAGCCTGAGTTCATGTAGCAGCCGACAAGACGGCATCCTGGCCTCACGAATGTTTAGCTCAGTAGCCAAGTACTAGTACCGCTGACAGACACTGACAGCATCGTGGATGGCAGCCAGAGGGCCATGAGGCACACAAGACTGGCTAATGAATGAGCATGCAGCTGACCACAAGAATAGCTTGCGCGCGCCTGCATGGTTGATTAGAGCTCTTCTTCCTGCACCCGTCCAGAAGATGAATGTCTCGCAGCTTGCATGCAACGATCCAGCACAGACCGTCTTGGTTAGGCGTTCGAACTTTTTTGAGCTTTCGAAGCCTCCGAAGGGAGCAATTCCGAGCGCATCGATCAGAAAGGCCGGCTGGCAGTGTCGGTTTTGCCACAGGTGTCAGCATCTTCACCTTTAGGGCATCAATCAGACAATATCTGACAGGACCACGGTCTATGCCGTGGTGTGCTGGGCGGCGGTTTTCTGCGCGTACGCGCTGCCCCTCGACTCTGCCGGTCGTTCGATTCCAGTGCTTCGGTGCCTGGATCTGAATCTTGAGGTGTGTGAAAGCAGCCATTGCCAAGCTCTCTCCTCCCATGAGCGAGGCAGCAAAAAGCAAAGGCGGCGCTGTTCAGTATGGCATATTTCGCATGACCTCGTCGGAGCAGCGAAGCTAAGAAGGGCATCGGGGCCGACTCGAGGCACTTTGCGGGATCAGCTCTCGAAGGACATCGCTGCATGCATCGTTGCCATCACGAGTCCTGGCTTCAGAGGTCCGAGAAGGTGGCTTTTCGAGAGGGTGGTTGTACACGGAACTTACTTAACTATTTTGTTATGGTTGTTATAGTTGTTTAAGTTATTCTTCTTAATGTAGTTATTACGTAGACTTTCTTTTTGATTCTTCATATTTTCTGGCACCGAGGACGCACACTTTCCTCGGCCCGATGGCTTTGTACCTTTCCATCAGCTACAATGCAGCAGGCAGCTCTTAGATCAAGGGGGGCAGTTGTGGGGACCATTATGGGGTTCCTTATCCATATAGTTATAGTATAAACTCTACCACCCCATGAACCCTATCTGATCATCTTGCCTTTCTTGCTTCGGCGCGCGCGCAAGCCGCAAGCTGCTGCAGGATATCCGGCCTCTCTCTCGCCCTTCTTGCTCGAGGAGCCGCGCATGGCCGACGTGACGCGGGAGCTTTGGTGCTGCCGAGTTGGGGAGATGTTCACTGGAAACATTTTGTACCAGCCACTGGGCAGCCAAATGTGAAATCGAGCTTTTCTGGGACATGGGACAGAGAGCTTGTCTTCACTGATTCAGAAACTGCAGTTGCATCCTGCCCTGCCTGCGCTTAGGCTGATTTTCTGGCTCCTGCGCTGGGAAACCGGTATTGAGATGCTGCTGCACCACATAGGCTCCAGGTAGATTCTACCCATCAAAGCATGATGCCTTTGTTTGCCCATCTGCCAATCATTACTCCCCTGCAGGTTTCTTCGTGGCTGGGTATTTGATTCTGGACTTAACTTGCTTCGGCAAGCTGGCCAGTGGAGCAATGTCGATGGAAGTCTCGAGCGTTTTTCTCAGTGTGCCGCTTTGGCTAACTTCACCCGTCGATAGAGTAGCAAAACGCATGCAATCTCTCCGGCCGCTGCCAGAAGAAACAAAGCAAGGCACCTGATGACGCGCCAGATCGACGGGAAAAGATGTGCCTTGGTCTCCGACTTGGCGGCCGCGGTTTTCGTCTCGACCTCAGATTGAAAGGCAGCCTGCTTCGGTCAATCCCACCGTATCCTTTGCTTCGCAGAGGCGCTGACCTTTCTGGGGATCCGCATCTTCTGGTACGGCTACGTGGTGGCAGCTGCTTGGGCTCCTTAGGGCCGCGCGCAGTCTGTGACTAACTGTGCGTCTGTGACGCCGGCGACGACGGCCAACATCAGCAGCAGCACCAGCACCAGCACAAAAACACCAACAATCAGTACAACCACAACTCCTTATTCTGTGATATGCGCAGCATCGTGCAGCTAAACTTGTAAGATCTTCCTGGGTTCTTGTTAGTTGTGTCGGTGCTCGGTGTCAATGAAGAGACTGATATTATCTCTGAAGGAGGAAGAAAGTGCTGTAGTGCGTGCTCTTGCCAGTGATGTTCTGAATCGCCCAGCTGCTTGATACTGATTCCTCGTGCTGAGATGATGTTGAAGGTCTGCTTTCAACGTAATGCGTCGGAATCACAAATGCTGACACGATGAACCGGCACGATCTTTCATCTCTTTGTCTATGCATGCGCTTTGCAACTGCGAAAGCTGCCGAGGAGTTCAATTACACCTGGTTCCTCGAGCCAGAGAAGTTTCCACCGAACATTTCCATGGTCAAGGCCTCCGCGGCCGCTCGCCTGCAGAGCTCTCGGCAGCCTCTTTGCCCTAAGAACCATCCGCTGTGAACGAAGCTAGGCCCAGCTAGGCAGTGCATGGGTGCTGCTTCTGGAATGATATGGCGAAAGAGCAGCACTGTCATGCAATTTCGGACATCACGAGGCACGGCAGTCCGATGAACCCCTTCTGCCTTGAGTTGGCAAGATGCCCAAACCACTCGCAAGGATTCATGGATCACAACTTGCGTGCTCCACCTGTCTTGCCATCTTGCATGCTGAGCTCCAAACTTCAATAGCACCCACCGAGCACACCACGTCTGATCGCGGCGCGCTTGTACCATAACTCGACTGTTTTGTGAAGAGGGGTTTGCAGGTGACATGGAGCATAAAGACTGCCCGCAGACCGGGGTCCGAGCTGTCCTGGGTCCTTGCTTTCAGGCCCACCTGATATTCACTTTGGGCTGGGTCCTGCAGCTCTATTGGTCGAAGCTCGCTCCTTGCCTGCCGTAGAGCACAGAGCAAGAGGGGGTCAAGGGTTGTGCTGGTCAGAGAATGACCGCTACGATCAGAACTATAGTATCCTCTGCCACATCCTGAATCCTCAAGTACTGTGGCGAAACACCCGTCATGCCAAGGTTGTGAGCAAAGTGTGGCGCGCAGCTCGGGCCATGATGGGCAAAGACTCCGCGTAGTCAGCCCCTCCACATCGTTTGGAGAAAGCGGCACGACTTAAAACAGAGGCCGCGCACATGCATGTCACGCCTGTTGCATCTGCGTCACCGCCAAAGCAAAGCCTGAGCCGAAGGGCCGAAGCCCTTTGGGGCCCTTTGATGCGAGGAGCGCTTGATGCTGGGCCGTCCCCGAACGGGCGCCTTCCGAGCTCTCGTCTTTCTGGTGCAATCCCCTTGCTTTCCTAGTGAGTGAGTTTGCGTGGGCGAACGTGCAGACGACTTTCCGAGAGGGGTGAGAGTACGGTACCTGCTTGTTTTGTTTCGAAGCTGCTTCCGGCCGTGGATATTCGTGTTTGGCAGGCACTTGCGGTGCTCAGTGCCGCAGATGAGGCAGGGTCGTAAACAACTTGCAAGATTGCCGGTGGAACATCCATCAACTATACACTCCACGTTCTCCATCAGGCGCAAAGAGTGGACATATCCATCTCTTGACCGAAAACTTGGAACTGGACATCGATTTTTGTCAATGAGACGTAAGTAGACTTACATAAGATGAGAGTTGTTTTGCGAAGGGGTCTGTGAGCCCTGCATGTATGCTTGTACCAATGCATGCTCCAAGTTGCCTTATCCTAGCAGTCGCCTTGGTAGGTGGCCGAGAATGCCACTCAGCCAGACAGGCGCTTCGTAGGGCGTTTTTGCCGATGCATGTAGATCATGCAGATTGTTTCTATCAGAGGCGGTGCATTGCTCTAATCCTAGACATCCGGGATATCGTGCGGCAAAGCGTGCAGTGCATGCTGCAGCACTTCGATCGGGTGTGTAATGCTTGTGGTGAGCTGCAAGTGCCAGGCCGTCCGACACTCAGGAGCCTCCGCAGGCACTGTCGCGCTGCGGACCGGTCTCTGATGTTGAAGCAGCCGCACTTGGCAGGCTGGCCAACCAGAGCCCACGGGCCTCGATGGGCAAGTCGGATCTGCAACGGAGAGCGAGACCTGTGGTGAAAATGGTGTCGCCAGGACGCGGAGCAAATATTTGCATTGCTCGCCATTTCCTTGCCATAGCTATGGGTCTAAGGCCCCATTTCAACCCTGCGGAATCCAACAGAAAGCTCAGAGAGACTGTCCTCAAAGGCTCTGGGGATGTGTGAGTTCGAGTGAGGTTTTCAAGAATCCTCAATGCTCAGACTGCAGGAGCCAAATCTCTGCGATTCGACACACAGCGGCTGTGATTGCTGGATTTGCGGATGGCGCCAGCAGACAAGCTTGGCATGCAACGCACCTGTTCCGCGTCGTCGCGTTGCAATCATGGGCCGTGGGCAACTTGCAGCCAGGTGCCATGGCCCAACTCCCAGGCGCATCGGCAGTGGTGCCGGCCATCCAGGCCGACAGGAGACTTCGGCTTTCGCCCCTTCCCGGGCAGTGCATAACCTGGCAAGGCGGCGATGATCTTTGCCATCGCGCTCCAATATGGATGCCGCTTATGCTGCACTATTGCGTTGGACGAATAGGTCATATATACATATATATATATAGATGTCGTCGCAGAGAGGCACATGAAACTTGAGCATGTTTGTGTTTGTCTGTGTGTGCGCGCAGATCGAGGCTACCTGGACTTGGGCACGGCCCTGGCAGTGTCCACTTTCCTCGGCAGCGAGTATGCATGCTGGCTGCATGGGAAGGAGTCTAATCTCTGCCACTTTGCTTAGCAACGTAGGAGGCAAAAAGATATGAGGTGTCGTGTCCGTCGTCATTTTGGTCGTCGCCCTGGCTGCTGCAGCGGTTGCTTCTGCCTCTCCACGGCTGTTGCTGCTATCGCACACTACTGGCACCGCCGTCGCCACCACCGGTCGATCTTCGTTTCGTTACCCCCTCGCTGTGAAAGATAGCAGAATGCTAATCCTTATATAATGCTTGTCAGCTGGTCAACCGAGAGACCTCGTCTGGCGGAGTCCGAGTTGCGAGAGCGTAATGCCTTGGTTTTCTTGCCCAAACCCATCGACACACCGAGCTTGCTGTCGGTAAACACTGGAAGTGCCAGTTTCGGACTTGGTCGTGTCCGTGTCTGTTGCTGCTGCTGTTTCACCATTACACTGTTACCCCTTGAACCTTTCGGCTTTTGCACACTGTGAGAGACGAGCGAAAGGTGAAGATGTCTTTGGTCAGCCATGCCATCGGATGGATCCCCGTCGCAGGGAATCTAATAAAGAGGCTTGGCTTACTTATTTGCGGACCTTACTAGCAGCCAGCGGTGCTGCTCCATCCGTCCAAGGACAGCTCTTTCAGTTGTGATGACCGAGGGCATCGGGACGGCAGCCGACTCCCGGTGGAAGACCGGAAGCCCATGTGCCGTTTTGGTTCTCGAACGTGCCACCCGAGGAGAAGATGCTCAGCTGTCCTGCTATGCGCGAGGATCTCCTAGACAAGGCGCCGAAAGGGCCGTGCCAGATTTGCTTCAACATCTTGAACCATGCAATGGCCCCCTGCTCACGAAGGCATCCCGCGAGGAGCCCTCTGAGACACTTGCTGAGGAGGGTCAAGTGCCTCGACTTAGACACCACTGCGGGGCAATTGACGCACCTCTGGGTTCTGGGTGGGCGCCAGAGCATCCGAATTTGAAACCCCGAGGCCTCGCAAGTCAGGGAGTACTTCCACGTGATTTCCGAGTTCCTCTCCTCGAGCGGCGAGCTTACGTCCACTATATGCAGATGTTGCGAAGCGAAGGCGGCATCTCCATGCGCAGGCGAAGTCACCCCCTGGAGCAGCACCACTGCGGCTGCTCGGGAGGCCCCGGGTGAGCCTTGAGGGCATCTGGGCTATGCTGGGCCGTGACGGAGAGCGGCGGGGCGGGGTGGGGCCTGCGGCAGGTGTGGCATCGCGTGGAGTCGATCTTCCGCAAGGAAGACCAGGCACGGCATGGCACAGATCGGATCGCGCGGGCCTGGAGCGAGTGGGCCCGGCCGCCGCGAGGTGAAACTGCTGGCGAAGGTGCACGAGGTGAGGTCGGAGCGCCGTGGGGTGCGCGGGCGCACCGCGAGAGTCACGCAGGCACGGAATCCGGAGGACCTCGTGGCCTTGGCCCACAAGCAACCTGCTGGCCCGAAGTCGCATCCCACAACGCGTGTTTTTGAAGGCATCCTGTTCCGTGGCGTGCTTCTGCAATGTGCTGAAGGTATAGCTGGAACCTCCAGGTGCTGGAGGCTGTGGGTTTGGGAAGTTTCGCGCGCGAAATGTGGGGGGTGGCACGTCTCACGGGCCTCGGGCCTGGCTGCATGGACTCCAGGCCTCGCTGCTGGCTTTGCGAGATCGCTTTCCACATGAACTCGCCTGCACTGATGTGGACCGCTCACTGGCTCCCCTTATAACTGAGATCCTTTGTCAACAGTCACAGCCTTTGCAAACTGCAGAGTGGTTTTTGGCAGGATTCTTTGGCTCGCCGGTTCTGGTCCTCTCAGGCAGATGGCGAGGTCAAAGCCGTGCCTCGACACAAAGTCCTCGTTACTCCTTACTCGGCCGGAGCGACGATGGATTCGCCGATGTATACTGAGTAGCTAGGGTACATCGACTATGGTTGCCTCCTGTCGTCTCTTGCTTCCCGCGTGATGACGGGCCCGATGATGCAGGCAAGCAGTGCTCTGTCATCTCATCACAAGGAATTTGAAGGTGTGCGTGGGCCTATGAGGTCTCAGCCCCGCACCTGCTGCACTGCTGGTCGCGACTGCCTCTGCCCCGTCGCCGTGCAGCAGCGCTACTGGCCGCGGAGCTGGTGGCCGAAGCCACGCGCATGGGAGGTGCGCGGCCGCGCTGCGCGTTTGCAAATCTTGCAACTCCGCAACCGCCAGGCCACGCAGCCGTGCTGCCAAGGGCCTTGGACGTTTTGAAGGAGGGAACTCGGCCCCAAGGAGGCGAGGAGAGAAGTCGCATGATGGGGAGCGTTCCCGACTTGCCTTGCATTATCACTCCAATCATCGGCTGCATGGAAAGGCGCAGAGCTCTTGGAGGACTTCGGCTTGCCGACGTTTTTGGAGGCTTTGCTGAAGGCTCTAATGCGCGGCGAGGCGGGCAGCTCAAGCCACCAGCCACATCACATCAGCTACACCAGACGAATCCTTTTGGGGGGCCGGGGTTGAAGCGTCGAGAAGCAATGCCAACCAATTCCAGCCTTTGCCCAGAACATTTCTGGGGCTTGACAGGAATGCACAGCTCCAACCCTTGCTTGCTGTTTCGAAGCCAAATCGGAGGGGGGAGCACAGACGTCGAGTGTCAGACTGGACAGTGCAGCACAACGCGCGGCGGGAGGGGGCGACCGCTGAAGAACCGAAAACAAGGGGGAGGCACCTCCATGCCCATTCGTAAGCCTTCTGCGAACGCATCAGTTGCAGAAGAGCAGAAGAGCTCTAATCCTTGCAAGAGACTATATACGAACAGGGTGTGAGCTATAGGACGGATTCCGCGTGGGCGGCGCGTAGCAGGCACCCTAAGCTTACTTGAGTCCCTTTTTTGGGGGGCGGCGGTTCGCTGCGTAGTAGGCGGGCGCCTGCGTAGTGCTGCGGCGGCTTCTGGGCGCCTCCACGACAGCCTCCGGCCCAGCTGAGAGCCGGGCTAGTGACTAGTGCTGCGCTATGGCTGCGCTGTCGCTCCATGCGGCCGAGGCTGCGAAGAGCTCCCAGTGGCTGGCTCTGCGGCATCTGCAGCGCCTTGGCGATTGAACTTTCGCCCGCTCGGGCTTCGATCTTTTCTTCTTTTCATTCTTCGCCCCGCAGCGGCGCTTGGAGGCAGCTGGACTTGATGGAGAACGTCCCTGGCGCAGCCGCTCGGCTCGCCCGCACGTGGCGGGGCTGGAGCAGGCGTTGGAGCTACCTCGCGCCGGATTCTCACTAAGGAATCCTGCCTGCCATCGCTCCACACCGACATCAAGAAGCTCTTGACGGTCGATGCCCTTCCAGAAGGCAAGCGGCAGCAAGTCGAGCAATCCGGAGGGTGAAGGACTGAGCTCCTCGTCCTGCAGGCACGGAGACTCCTCAGACCGTGGCGCTGGCTGCCACCAGCAAGGCAACCACCAGTAGGAGCCTTCAGTGCACGAGGGACCTTTTTGGAGAGTGTAAATAAAGGAAGGAGAGGAGCGGAAGAGGGCGTTCGCAACGCGACACCTGCTGAAACCGAGCTGCGCGAGAACAAGCATCTCGAGAAGTGAGATGCGGCGGTGGGACTCAGCAGATTCCTGCTGCATGTGCTCTTTCGTTTCTCCGAGAGTTCGACTTCGTTGCTGCGCACTGGTCCGTTGTTCGTCCTATGTAAACCGAATGCCTGGCAGGTAGACCCTTTTGCCACACTGGTGGGGCAGCAGTGTGCGGTCAAGAGGCTCGAAGTACGGCAAAGGCAGCGCTGTTTCTATCTGAAAAAGCCTTCAGCCTCCTACAGGCTGATGCAGTCTCCGGGGTATGTGCGGCTGCGCAAGAAAGGCATCCAGCGCAGCCCGGCCGTGCATATGGGCCATATGGCCATATGGGTATGTCCAGCACCATAATGTGCAGCTCGACTCCTCTGAGGTCCGGGTGTTCCGTTGGTGCTGCTCATGACGGGGCCTTCAGGAACAGGTTGCTGCCCTGGCGTGGCGCAGACTGCACCTCTACTACTCTACTCCTCACAATCCCTGCTTGTTAAGGGAAGACGATGGCGGCTCGGACGATGGCTGAAGTCATCCACGGAAGGCCCATCCAAGAGCTGGAGGCCACCTCTCAGCGACAGATTCTCCTGACTGGAATATTGCAGCGAGGGCAGCGGGACGAGTTAAGACTTATAGGGTTTCGACACATTCAAGGGGAATCTTTTCACGCCCGTCATCATGGCACTGTAATTCTCATCTCTTGGTTTCCGTGGGTGCTTTGGAAGGCATCGGGTCGCTTCAGGCTCTTCCCAATGCCTCTCGGCAATCGAGAAGGGGCAACCTATGCAACTGCTTGCCCTTGCTCTTGTTGCGGCTGTCTGTGCTGCCTGCTCCAGCGAGACATGTGCAGAAGCTTCCTTTATGTTCTCCATAGATGGAAGCCTGCCAAGTCCAAGGAATCAGTTCCGAAACTTGGCGCAGGGTTGGATGGGTGTACGTGAAGCCGTTCGCCCAATGTCGTTTGCGCGTGAATCATGCAGACAGTCAAGCACCTGTGAGGAATGCTCGAAGACCAGCAACTTGTTTGATACAGCGGTTTCCATGAGTTGATCAAGATAGGAATCGGTACCGCCGCCGCTTGTGCTGGTGCTATTTCTGCTGATAGGTCTTGCATTTCTCTTGCTACTACTCCTCTTGTTCTCATTCCGGCTATTGCTCCGGCGAGCCAGGACTACAAGTCCAGCTACAACTAGACATGCAGAAAGAGCCGAGGAAGACCTTCTTCGGGCCGCCCCGTGGCATCCAGGGCTCTGGCGACCTCCCTGACCTTGCACGAGTCCAAGATGCCTGTGTGGAGGGCACTGCAGGGAGAAGGTCTCACCCATCCTCTTAGGTGAGACAGCACCCGGATGCAGTATCTTGGGCCGCATGAGATCTGAGAAGGCTGCGATGCATCTGCTTTGTCTTAGCGCTGCAATTCAAGGTGATCGTACTTGATGAGATCGAGAAGGCACATTCGGACTTCGCAAGGGCGTTGCTGACTGTCTTCGGCGAGTATGGCTCCTCAGCTGTGTTGCATGGTGTATTCTGGGCGGGTGGTGCAACAACTTGCATCGGTTTTCTTCTGGGCTTGCCTTTCTTTTCTATCAGTTGCCAGTACGCGGCGCGCTTGGTACCTGAGGGACCGTCTACGATCCCCGAACAGGACGGGACTATCCGGCAGCCAATGCAACCTGACTTCTACGACTGCACACACTTGAAGCACGGATGGTTCAGAGAAGCTGGAGTCTAGAGCGTGATAATGCAGCCGCCATAGGCTACCTTTATCCTCACGAGCAACCTCGCGAAAGACCTGATTCTCAAACATCCGGTCTCGGACGCATGGCTGCTTAAAGCTGGCTCGTGGTGGGCTTCTCCCATGCGCGGAACCGGCTCTGTGAGGTTGCCAAGAGCCAGGGCCGTGCCGTAGAAACCTGGCAGAAGCAGCTCGGACTGACATCCTCCGTCTTTGCCGGGTTTCTCCATGTCTCCGAGATATCCGGAGGCTCCCTTTGGGTGTGGACGGCGACCCAGATTGTGCTGGCTACGTCAGTGGGCTGCACGAAGTCGGCCAGAGCTCCTGTTCACAAGTCCTGTTTCGCTCTCGTGCGTGGATTGCTGAGGCAAAGCTTCGCGATGCCGTGGATGCGGAGCTGAGCCATCCCCCGGCCATCGACAGAGAGACTGGGCGTAAGTGTGAGCGTCGTGGCAGTGGCGCCACGGTGACGAGCCCGAGCCAAGGAGCACGGCTTCTTCCGCGAGAGCGAGATCCGGGGCCGCCTGACGGACGTGCTGCCCTTCCTGCCCTTCAGCCCTCGCGAGGTGGAGCAGGCCGTCCGCGGCTTCCTGGCCTCCGAGTCCAAAGCCTTCTCGCAGCACCCGGGCTTTTCAAACGTGGAACTGGCCTGGAGCCCAGAGGCACACCGGAAAAAAACCCACTTCCCTTTGTCTTATAGCCAGGAGGTAGTTGTTCTAATCTCTTGGAGGTGGTTCGCTACTTCGCGAACCTTTACCTGAAAAAGCCCGACGAGGGGCTCCGTGCCGTGAACAAGGAGCTGCAAGCTCAGGCACCGCAGGGCCGCAGGGACGGGAAAGCGTGGATTGCGAAGCGCCGCCTGAAGATCATCTGCGGCCAACATGTCCAAGCTTAGCGCCGGCCTTTAGAGGGCCTAGAAGGGCCTAGAAAGCTTCATGCAAGAGAGTGCCGCTGTGTGCCGCTCCGCCTGACTGCCCGGCCCATTGCGGCGAGTCTGAGTCTCGCTTCCCGCTTGGACCGGAGGTGCGGGATCTGCTGGAGCGCTCCATCGAGGCCCTGGCTTCTCGAGAAGCCGTCGGAGACGAGTGAAGAGAGCAGAGATGGAACTTCTTAGCGTCACACATGCTTTGAGAGAGACTGCGGAGACTTTCTGCTTGACATAGCCAGGCCGGTTTGGTGGCGCGGGGCGCCATCGCCGCTCTTCGTTTGGATGAAGGCCAGTGCATGGGCGAACATATAGAAAGGGGGACCCATGCGCCGCGAAGCTCGGCTCTGCCGTCTGCCGGGGCTCGTGTGTCGTGCATTGCTGTGGTGGCCAAGGTTTCAAGAGTCGAGGAGAGCTCGAGACTCCATACATGAGTACATGCTTGGACTGGTCGCGCAGGCAGCAAGGAGGCGCGCCTCGACTTGCGCGCTGTCCTCCGCGAGGCACGGCGAGCACGAAGAGGCCGTAGAGGTCGCCTTAGAGGCCAACAACGTCAGAGAGAAGAGGGTAAATGCACATGTGGGGATGATGTCGGCAGTCACGGGGCAAGGCAGAACCAGTGCAAGCAGGGCCAGAGACAGCTGCCCTCCAAGCTGCCGAGTCCGCAGAGCCAAAAGACGAGGAGGGATTAGCAGGCGCTGTGTAGCCTTGGCATCCCTTGGCTGCTTTCAGCTAGTTGTGCGACTTGCACAGTCTCTGGTGGTTTCTACGATCGGGTCGCCAGTTTTCCAAACGGTGCCTTCTAGGAGACCTCGGACTACTTCTTTTCTACAGTCACCGCCCTTCTGTCCGGTGAGTGGATTGTCAACGAATCCTCATGGAGCTGGACAAGCCCAGAGAAGTCCGGGCCTAGGCCTATCCTCTTACAGCTCAGATTTTGTGAGCTGAGGCCCGCGAGGAGCGAAACGGGGTGGGATTGGCAATACGACTGGGAGTGGCAGCCGGACTTGGAGTGGCATAGTGAGTGGGACTGGCAGCGCGTCTGGGAGCGCCTCTTCTTGAGCCCTGGTTTGCAGAGGAAGCAGGTCTTGGAGCATGGCTTCGCGATGATGCCCACAGTCCTTACGTAGGCTTCGCTCTCGCGTCTGGCGTCTGAGGATTCTGTGGGAGTGGCGCTTTCCCCTCGTGGTCACAGCCACGCTGCTTATCGTCGTTGCCTCTGCTGGAATGGCAGCCCTCCCGATGCACCCAGTGCAGGGAACATCAATGACTGTGCTGCTGTATTCGCCAAGACGGAGCTTGTTCCGTCTTCCCAGGCACCAGTGGCCGCGCCTGCCGCCACGGTTTCTGCAGGCGCAGCCGCAGCCCCTGTGTTTGGTGCCGCTGGCGGTTCGGCAGCTGTGGGCGCGACCGCCGCTGCTGTAAGCTCCTGGATGTTGGCGCTGATCCAGGCAAGTGCGCGACAGTAGGAACATGAAGTTTCGGGAAGGCGGAGAGTTGTGACCCTGAAGGTGACGGGCAGCTCGGCTTCTGTCGCCGTTCCCGGTCTGACGTTCTATTATGCCTGGAAGCAGCTCGGTCAAATCGCTTCAGGAGTCGACGTGTGCGAACCCCATCTAAACGGAAAGCTTGCAAGACCGGGCAGCAGGGGAGTCCTTCGGCTCGTAGCCAATGGAAGTCCAATGAAACAAGCCAACAACAGAGCTTAGGGCCCAAGGGTTGGGCCCAACCCCTTCCCAGGAATCGGCACTATGTCGAAGCCGTGCCTTGGCATTGCAAAAACTCTCTGGAGCTTCTTGCGTGAATTCCGTGGGGAGGCGGAGACTTGGGGCATCTGAGCTGAGGCCATTTTTGCTGCTTTGTCCCTGGCGCTTTGCCCCTATGCATGGCGGGTCTACTGTGCAGCCTCGAGCCTCGCCAAGCAGGCTCAGGGGCTCTGGGCTCTTTTGGGAACATCTGAGCTGCTTTGCCCTTTCCCGGATGCCGTGCAGATGGCACCAAAGCCGCCGAAGCCGCTTTCTTCGAAAGCTCCGCAGAAGATCCGAGGCACCGTTGTATCTTCAATTGAGCTTGACAGAAGCAAGCCCAATTGCAAGCTTTTCCCATGTAGTCAGATGTCCCAGGAGCGAAGACGAAGCTCCCCAGAGGAGACTTCAAGCTGAAGCTGACGGACTCCGACCCCCCGCAGGCCTAAACGAAAGACTTCTTTTGATCTTGATCTGTTTGTGACAGGCTTAGACCTGCCGCGCGAGAGTCGAGAGTCGCTCGTGCTTGGCGCCGCAGGCACATCCCATCGAAATGGCGTCTCCCCTTGAAGCAGGCGGCCACTGCCGCAAGGGAGCTACGTGGCGAGGCATGGGGTGGGTGGGCCGGCAGGTGCCGTCGGACCTGGCAGCGCTGCTACGTCCGACGAGAAAGTCGAGAACGAGCCTACCGGCGGTGACGCTGTCCAGGGAGGAGACCAGTGGCTTTAGTGATCTTAGACTGGCAGGGCGTGCAGCTAACGTCCCATCTCTTCCACGACGCAGAACCCGTGACATGCATAAATGTGCCCAGCTCTTACTTGCCCAGGAGCGAGGGAAGCTTCGCAAAGCCCTGAAGGCCCCGCAGTGACAGGCGCCATGGTCTGCATCCCATGTTCCTGTAGCATACCGTGTGTGTCAATGCTGGTCGAGGCGCCAACGCCGCCAGCTCTCAGAGTCCGACCGAGCAGCCCGGCTTGAAGGGATCGCCTTGAGGGCAAATGGGCTTTACTTAATGCAAAGCAGGCGTGGAAGCCGGCTCATCAGCCGCGCAGGAACGTAGAGCTTTGTGCAAGTCGTGGAGAGTACGGTTGCGCATGCAATGCAAGGTTTGCCTGTGTTTGTGGGGCCCTCTGAGGGTTTCGCTGCCTCCTTGTGACAGGGTCTCACCTCGTCTCTGAGTTCTTGCGTAGAGTCCTTATCTCTTTGTGTCCCTTCAGACATCGTTCCAGCTCCAGTTCGCTGGATCTCCTGCACTGAGGCCCCCAGCCGGCTCCGAGTGCATGGAGAAGGAGCAAGAGGAATCGCGAAAAACCGAGGAGGAAGAGCTGGATGAGGTGGAGGAAGAAGAGGGACAGGAGCAGGAAGAGGACTAGAGACAGCTCTGGCCGTTGTCTCAGATACGTTTCAAGCCAGCTGTCCACCTTGTCGCTGTGCTGTAGATGCTACTCGTACCAATATGTTTCGAAGCAGGGGCTTCTGTGCCCAGGACCTGGCTCCTGCTGCACTGTACAGGTGCCGGGATATGTCGGAATGGGTACCTGACGCAAGCGGAAGCGACGAGTTGCTCAGGTGCAGGAGCTGCGTCTCGAATTTCCCTTGGCTGTCGAGGCACCTTCTGATTTTCTTCCAGGAATCGAGCATTCACGCAGTAGGAACCCTCCAAAGCTTGCTGCAGCTCCTCTCTTGAGCTTGGAGCCGCTCTCTGAGCAGGTCGATCGGCCTGTGGACAGCCTGGACCTGCATGGAGGGAGCTTTAGGCTTCAAGTGTTTACACGACTTACATGCAATGCTGACTTTTCAGCATGCTGTAGCTAGGAGGTATCCCGTTTGGAGTTTGGAAGACGCCGGAGAAAAAAGCCCCGAACATCGCTGCCGCATATGCAGCTAGCTTGTCATGCAGCCTCCGTGTGTGCATGGCTCGTGAGCCCGGGGTATCGAAAGCCTCGCAAAACTCGGGGTAATTGAATTGCGGTTCACCGAAAACTTCGCAAAACGTATATCCAGTGTTCATCCAGCACTGGCCCAGCATTAGTCCAGCAGGAGAGGGAAGGCATCAAGTACAAATCCAGCACTAGTCCAGCCTAGTGTAGCAGATAGGACGGAGAAGCCGTGACATCAGTGTGGGTGAGTGGCGATGTGTGTAGGTGAGGGTGGGTATAAGGTGAGTGTTGCTGAGGGTCGGCAGAAAGCCCGTGAAATTTACATGATGTCTCAGACGCAAAAAGTTCCGATACCTTTGCTTAGCGACATGTTCTTGGGCGCAGCGTGTTGGGTGCTGCAAGCAACGCCAAACGTTGCCAAGCTATTGTTGCACAGCAAAACCAAGGTCCGAAAACATAACAAGCAACAGTTATTGTGATGCGAGATATCCTCTGCAACGGTACGGATTGTGTTAGTAGTGGCAACGATCATGATAAGGGTTTATCGCGATAATAAGAACAAGCAGAAAGCAATAACAATGTCAACAATAGCAATATTAAATAAAGCCAGGAATAGTTTACTGCTACCAGTAGTGTTTATGATCATTATTTGGGTGTGAGCCTGGGTAGAGGTACCTACGGCCGGAATCCTCGTAGTCCCAGCGAGCGAACAAACGAGTCTTGTGAAAGTCCGCATGCGCAGACAGTCAACTCGAAGCTTCCGTCGCGAGCAGTTCTCGTCAGCCACTCATCCTCTCTTTCATGTTTGCAGCCTAGCAGCATTCAGGACTGTGAGTGTTCAGCATATCGTGTCTATTCAATAGCTCCTGGCTCAAGGCCCGGTAAGACCAATGCACCCTAATTCGTTAACTTATGGCAAGCGTGCCTGGGTTGAAAAGGCGGGTGGGCTGAACTGCGCCGAGCACAATCTGCAGCATTCTTTATATGCACGCGCTGTGGCTATGAGTCCCTGAGGCGTGTGGTTTCCGCCATCATCTTGGTGACCGTCTGTTTTGTCACGATCAATTTCTGGGATGATCCAGGCCGCCCCTTTACTGGTAGCAAGTGTTCTGGGCGTTTTCCACACCGTTTAGTCACGACATGTACCAGGGCGTTCGTGCAGTAGAAAAATCCCCAAGCACTGCATCGGCACAAGTGCAAACTGGCGCGAATCAGGTCCAGCGGGGCAATGTGCGCCTCCTTTCTTGGGAGCCAGTTGTGGGCTCTTCCTCGGCGTCATTCATTTTCCCGGAAGCGGGGTCACCAGAGGCTCCCCGCGGGCATGTAAAGTGGCAGCCTGCGCTCTGATTATCGCATCCACAGTGGCTCAGTTGCATTCCCTGCAGTCATATCATGGCATGTAAAGTCTGTCACCCACTTTGCACTCAGGTTTTTGCGGGATCTTACCCATGGCATCAGATGCCCGCTGTTGGCGGAGAGTTAGGGGAGAAATCAGATGTGTGGCGCAAGCGTTGGGTGATGCTAGCTGCAGTCGCCATCCTGGCCCTGCAGTTTGGCGCAATTGCAGAAGTTGTTGCTCGTGGGGAAGTCTTCTTCTCGTTGCTGTAGTACATAGTCGTCGTTGTCATCTTGGTGGCAGCGGCATGCAGCATTTGGAGGGATGGAGTAGGAGTAAGTAATCAGAAATAGTTGTATTTGTATTTGTTGTTGTTGTTGTTGTTGTTGTTGCTGCTGCTGTCGTCATTGCTTTGCCGGTGCTTCAGGATTTGCGTGGCCTGCATCCTCAAGCCACACCCACCCTCTACTTACGCGCACGATGCGAAGTGGTGTGTCTTCAGCCTGTGGCTCTGCATGATGGTGTACCCCGCATATTACGTTTGCAAAGGGCACGGCTACATAAAATCCGGCGACTGCCTGGTGGCATTGACGCTCAGCATGGAGAGCGTCGTTCTTGGCTGGATTGTCTGTATCTTCCAAGCACGAAACTTGTAAGCAAATCAGATTTCGGTGAGCGCTGGGAGCTGTAGAGATGCCACAGGCCTGGGCCGTGGCCTGCCTTCTGAGGAATGGTGGGCATGAGATCTAGACACACGTCAGGCAAAATCGATTCTCAGATATGGATCCTCGTGATGAGCGGCGCCTTCTTCTGCCTTTCCCTGGCCATTGCAGTGAACCGTGCAGTGGGGACAAACTCAAAAGAGGGCCTGATCATGCGCATCTGTGTCCAGTGTGTGTTCCTCAGCCTGTGGGCCTGGTATACTTTCGACGTTTGCAGGACAGATTTCAGGATGTCCAAGTGCAGCTGTTCTGCAGTCGATGTTCTCACTCTTTCCGGGAATCGAGAGGAGCTTGTGGCGTGGTCTGCGTCTGCTGCAGATAGAGACTGGGCGTGTGAGAGGGCTTCCTAAACGGCAAGCCAAATGGGCATCAAAAATAGTCTGTCCGCCCCTCAGACCCTCGATCAGCCCTTCAGAGATCTAGCTAAGACCAGTCACACTGCTTATATGCCTCAGGCATTGAATTGCTGCTCTGCTTGCTCCTGGGCACCTCTACGTTTGCGACCTGGTTTTGCATCACCATCCTGAAGTACGTGCAGCTAATGGACTTTGATGCCTACAAAGATTTCAAAGCCACGCCATGGGGACTCTCCCTGAGCCACTTGTCTCGAAGTCTGCAAAGCGCTGCGCCTCACGTTTGCTGCGCTGACCTCAGGTGTAATGCGGCGACTTGATGTTGAAGCTTGTCCTTTTTGATTGCTGTGTCCAGAGTTTCTGGAAGGTAATTATCCTGAAACAAATGTCTTCAGGGCATCAACTCGCTCTCGCTGGCCCTGCTCTCTGGCATCCTGTGGCAGGATGAGCCTCCGAGTGATGAAGACGCAGAGAGGCTCGGCTGTGCAAACTCCGCAGACTCCTTTGCTTTGTCTCGCCCGTGAGGCATCTAGCACAAAGCACCCAAAGAGTAGTTGCGGCCAGCCATGCAGTTGCTGCATCGCCAAGGACACGGAGACGCTCAAGCTCACGAGGGCTAACATCCACGTCAGAACATCTGGGATTGGATGATAAGGACAGACAGTAAAGCAGCTTCACGCTAAGAGTGCCATCTCATGTGGAGTCAGGAAGTTTACATGACTGCCGTCCGGCAGCTGGCACGACGTGGCTTCCGCTTGAGCTCCTTGCTAGACTTCTGGGAACGGCTCCTGGAAGGTGACGACTACATGCCACACTTTGACCCCCGCTGCTTGGCAACAGAAAGAGCCACAGAGAGCGAGAGGCACGGAGGTTTTACAGAGAGCGACAGCAAGAGAGAGAGAGAGAGAGAGAGAGAGCACAAACATCGGGAGGGCCCTTGCGGCCGTGGGGCTTCGAACACGCCTCATGCCACGGGGAACAAGAGAGAGCGAGGCAGGGAGGGAGGGAGGGAGAAGGGAGGAAGACAGGGGAGTCAGACGCAGGAGACAGTGCAAGTCAGACGGATGAGTCAGAAAGAACAGAAGTACGAGTCAAACGAAAGAACAGCACGAGTCAGATGAAAGGAAAGGCTCGTGCCGAGTCAGACGAAAGGAAAGCACGAGTCAGACGAAAAAGACGACAGAGCCATGTCAACACAGCGACAGTTCTACACTTCGCGAGAAAATCCCGTCACAAGCAGCGACGGTTCTGCATTTTGGAACGGCGAGGCGCCAAATCTGATGACAGCGTCGCGCGCTTTGCTGTGAGCACACGCTATAAATCTCACGTAAGTTCTGCACAGGTCAAAGTCACCCCCTCTTCAATGCAGGAAGGAAGCAGATTTCAAGGAGACAGGGCACGGGGGAACCCAAATAAAGACATGTAACGTGCGATTAGAGCCACAACGACATCGGGTGCAGGGAAAGCGAATTACAGACATGTGTTAAACTCCGCCGCTCTGCACCTTGCGCAGGACATAAAAACGTGACAGAATAGAGCAACAAGGAGACAAGACATGTGGGGATAACTAGAGGCATACACGCAGACTCGAACGCACACCGCCTGTTCCCAGCTGAGAGGAACTTTTCCCTTCATAGCCGGCAAATCAAAAACAAAGCACAGAGAGGGCGAGAGTGAGTGAGTGAGTGAGAGTCAAAGAGTTTGTGTGTGTGGGGCTCCCACCAACAACGCATCTCCGCTGAGGATATTCCCTGACGAACGACGTAGTGCGCCAGGCCATCATCCCCAGATCAAGAATCGGAGACGACGGCTTTGCACTGGCTTCTCTATGGTCTGAGGGGCAAGGGATGCTTCCACGGACCATGGTGACGCACAATTGGACTAACACCTTTGCCAACTTGGCCCCTTGTCCTGGCAGGATTCAAGACCTGTTGTTACCAGTTAGGTTGTCCTACCGCTTTATCAGCCGTTATCACAGTGGGACCGCTGGACGGCAGTCTGGTTGTGTTCTTTCGGTTTCGCGTGTAGGTTTAAAAGGTTGAGGCATCGGACGCTTCGCCCTAGCCTGGCTCTCGACTGCCTGGCACCAACTGTCGGCATGGTCTGGAGCCAGCAAAAGTATGCTTTTGAGCCATGGCCTGGCCCCTCTCCACTCTCCACGCTCCACTCTCCACCCCACTCCAACAAGCCGGTACAGCAACAACAAGAACAAGAACAACCCACTAAGACCACAACAACAACAACTACTACTAACTACTACTACTACTACTACTACTACTACTACTACTACTACTACTACTACTACTGCTACTACTACTACTACTACTACTTCTAATGCCGACTGTGGTGTGACTAACTGGGTTACATGGCATTGCAAGGTGGCGGGAATCCTGGCAGATGCCATCGGCTGCTGCATGCTGAGTATTCTCGTGTTCGTACGGAATCTGAAGACGCTGTCTTCAAAGCCACCTGCCGGCTGAGGCAGCACGTATGACGAAATTGTGGCGCAGATTGTTACCAAGCCTGGCTTCGCGCGGATAAAGGAGGACCTGGGGGAGAAGCTGGACCTCACCTACTGGGTGTGCGTGCCGTTGCTGCGCATGAATCATGCTTTCCCTATGCAGTAGCTGGGCTTGGTGAAATTGCAGTTCAGCTAAGGCCTTCTCTGTGAATCAGCATGCCAGCATTTGTGGAGGCTTCGGAAGAGAGCCTCCACCAAACACCTTTGAGTGGAAAGCGTGGCATGCGAAGACCTGTGATTCCGTCACTGGCCAGCCGTTCACACCTTGCACGTGCAAGATGGAGAAGATCTTCTGCCACGAGGACAATGAAGATCCAAGATGTGAGCTCAACAAGTTTGACGCTGCTTGGACGCACCTGGGCTGCCTGCACAACGCAAATCCCGGTGTCATGAGTGGGTTGTCGGGTCCGCACTGTATCAGCTGAGGACATGATGCATCATATCTACGTGGAGGAAAAAGCGTCTCAGACATGTTCATGGCATCAGAGAGCTTGCTCTCAGGAGGTTTCTGTGGGCGCGGCAAAACGTATGAGGTCGCAGGCTTCGGCCAATTGATCGTCGTAGACAACCACTTTGAGGTACCGCGCTCAGATTCTTCATGCAAAAGTACGACAGCCCACCGAGCCTATCATTCAAAGCGAGGTGCTGTACAGGGCATGGTGTGTGGCGGAGATTGTGGAGGCCAACGTCCTGCAGATTCCCTCACGAATAGAGGTCCCCTCGCAAGAAGCAGTTGACCGCAATTACGACAGACTTGCTCTATTGGATGTTCGTGATTGCTCTGCTTCATCCCCGCGTGATAAAGCCATGATTTTGTCAAAGATCGCTGACGTTGCTGCGTTCAATGAACGATACTCGGACGTTCCAAAGGTTTCATGTTTGGCATTGCTGTTGCTGTGGCTTTGTTGGGAAAGTAGGTGGGACGCAGCCACAAAGGATTGCAGGACCTCGTTTTCAGCAGTGAGACCGGACTGTTTTCAAAGTGGGTTGATGGTCAAGAACGTTCGCGACAAGTCGGGAGGATTCTGAGGCGATGTTCCCTTGGGCTGCATGACGAAGTTCATCCGCCTTTCCGCTCTTATGGCTGCTGTCCGGTGGGTCCAGTGGTGGTGGGTGCTCTTAGACGTCACCATGACTCCGATTCTGACGATGCGACCTCTGAGGAGGAGTCGGCAACCGATACAGCTTAAGTTTAGTGGCACCTTCTGAATTCTGCACATGCACAAGGACATTGCAGGATGCCAATTCGTTTTCAAAGGCTTCCACCTCCGCAGGAGAGCCTTGCACGCTTTAGTGCCGATGATTGATCTGGCATGTGGTGACACAAGCGTGAGCCTTCAAGCAATTCAAGCATCTCCAAACCATTCAAGCCAGACATTTCCAAGCTATCGCCCTGCTTGCTGGGTCATCGTTGACGAGGTTCACAGGCTGCAAAGATTCTTGCAGCTGTTTAGTCCAGCTGGTCTTGATGATCCATGAACATCATCCTGTACAGAATCCATGTGAGTTACTTTCCTCGCGGTGGCCCTGGTATAGAGCAGCCATATTTGGAGGCCTTGCTGTGCAGGAACGTCACGGAACAAACTTATGGCTTGATGGGATCATGATGACCTTGCCTCCCGACTCATCTTGTCACGAGTCATGCTGCTTGCAGTGCTAGCAGACGCACTGATCAGCAGCCCTGAATCAGCACCTGTTTGCTTGCTGAGGGTCCTCGTGCCGCAACAACGACCCAAGCACCCAACAAGTTTTCACACACCAAGCGAGCGGCCCGCCTGCCATATGGAAAATAGAGCCTGGCAGCTTTGCAAATTAATTGCCAACGAGTTCCCAATGCAGTTCCAAGTTCTACATTCGACAGCAGCAGAGGCGCTGAGAGCCCATTCATCCCTGGTTGCATTAGGTTGCATTAGCTATCTGCCAGAGCAGTTCGTCCAGTCGCCGATGCGTGTTATGCGTGGCCTATGCTCACGGTTCTAGTGCCGAGGATAGAATCAGAAGGACTACGAGCCTGTGCGTCCAAAGAAGACCCTTGTGTGCCGCACACCGTCTGTGAGGCTATTCTAGGGGCTGCGCCCAGGTGCGGGCAGCGCTAAGCTCTTGGGGGCTTCCGCAACCCATGCAAAAACTTGGAAGGAAGCTTCCTTCATTCTCATTTGCATGTGGACGAACGTCTTGAGTTTGAATTTACCGGAACATCAGTGCAACGTAGGCCCGAAGTGCACAACTTATGGGTGATCTTACGCTCTTAGCCCTCGTCGGCCCTCCATGTAGCCCGCATCCGCCCTCCGCCGGACCCCGCTGATGCTGATGATGCGCGCCCTTTTGTGGCTTCCGCAACCTACGCAAAAACTTGGAAATCATCACTTCGCGCCCACTTCGCGCCGCGGGGCCGGTTGCGGGCGCCCGAGTGCTCATGATGCTCGCCGGCTCGCCTCCTGGGGTCGTCCACGGCGGCCCCGAAACCCGCCATGCCGTGGGGAATGGTTGCGAAGCGCGTGCGCGTTCCGAGACGCCTCCGGGCCAGAGCCCGCGCGGCCCGATGGAGAAACGAAGGTCCGATGATGCTGGGTCGGCGGCATTACCCGTCGTGGCTGTTGCTTCGCAAGACAAGCCCATTCGTCTGAGCCATAGCTCAGTCCATACAGGGCAGCGAAGCGCTGCCCGATTTAATGGCTGCCGCCAATGCCGCCGACCCCACGGAGACTTCATGTCATATTCATGTCATACTGGTTTATCTGTAACATTTCTATAGTATACTAGGGTGTAGGATGCCCAAGGGAATTCTCCGATTAGCATGGCTCCTGCGCAAGGATGACACGCACGAATCGAGAAGTGTGTGGTACCAAAGTACTTGGAACGACACAGAGAAGATAAGCATGGCTCCGCGCAAACACACAAATCGAGAAGTGTGCTGTACCTAAACAAGCCAAGCAAGCCCTTGGAAGGAGACAGAGAAGATTAGCATGGCTGCTGCACAAAGATGACATGCACATGAGTACCTTCAAGCCCGAGTTTGCAATCTTGCTTGTAATGGCCGCGAAATCGTTTTAAAATGCATTGTGATGGGAGAGATCATTGCAATTATTGATCTTCAACGAGGCATTCTAGTAAGCGCGAGTCATCAGCTCGTGCTGATTACGTCACTGTCCTTTGTACACACCGCCCGGCGCCGTCCTCTTGGTGGTCGACAGCGGGAGGCTGGCGTTTTAAAGGGGTGGGGGGCGGGGTAGTAGTTGTAGGCCGGCAACAGGGTTTCGCCTGCAAAGACGGTTAGGGTTTCGCCCTCCGTGGCGGTTAGGGTTTCACCCTCCGTGGCGGTTAGGCGCCCTCCGTGGCGGTTAGGGGTTTAGGGCGCCCTCCGTGGCGGTTAGGGGTTTAGGGCCTCAGGGTTTAATAGGATCTGGGTTTGAGTGGTCGTGTTTATGGGGCCTGGGTTTGAGTGGTCGGGTCTGGGCTGGGTTTTTCGGGTGTAGCCTAGAAAGGCGATATGAAAATTAGGTCCGGTGGCGGTGGTGAGGGCGGTGGCGGCAGTGAGGGTGGGGGGTGGTGCGGGTGGCGAGGGCGGTGGGGGTGGTGAGGGCGGTGGGGGCGGGGGCGCGGGGGGGGTCCGGGCACACATTGGCAGCCTTTAAATACTCTTTAAACACATACAAATACAGCGGTGAGGGCAACGGTGAGGGGGGTGGGGGTGGTGGGGGCGGTGAGGGCGGTGAGGCGGTGGTGGCAGTGGGGGTGGTAAGAGCGGTGGCGGACAAGGAGAGTAAGAGTGGTGTGGGCAGTGGCGGCGGTAAAGGCGGTGGGGGTGGTGAGACCAGTGGGGGTGGTGGTGGTGAGGGCACTGGGTAAAGCGGTGAGAGCGGTGGGGGGTGGGGGTGGTGAGGGCGGTGAGGGTGGTGAGGGCGGTGGGGGCGGTGAGGGCGCGGGGGGGTCCGGGCACACATTGGCAGCCGCGGTGAGGGCAATGGTGAGGGCGGTGGGGGGTGAGGGCGGTGAGGCGGTGGTGGCAGTGGGGGTGGTAAGAGCGGTGGCGGTAGTAAGAGTGGTGTGCGCAGTGGCGGCGGTAAAGGCGGTGGAGGTGGTGAGGGCGTGGTGTGGGCAGTGGCGGCGGTGGTGGCAGTGGGGGTGGTGAGGGCACTGGGGGCGTGGTGAGGGCAGTGGGTAAAGCGGTGATTACGGGCAACTTTTGCTTACTCTCTAGCACACTCCCCAAACATCGAAGGGCCGTGGCGGCAGTAAGGGCGGTGGTACATATACTCTCTAAACATCTACAAATACAGCGAACTCTACAGTACTACAAAGGCAGTAAGAGTGGTGTGGGCAATGGCAGCGGCAAAGGCGGTGGGGGTGGTGAGGGCGGTGGGGGCGGTGGGCTCGAGCACACATTGGCAGGTTTTTTATTCTCTCGAATCACCTACAAATACAGCGAACTCCACAGTACTACCAGGGCCGTAAATTGGTGTGGGCCGTGGCGGCGGTAAGGGCGGTGGTACATACTTTCTAAACATCTACAAATAGGGGCGGTGGGGGCGCGGGGGGGTCCGGGCACACATTGGCAGCCTTTAAAGACTCGAAAAATACCTACAAATACAGCGGTGAACGCGGGGGTGGTGGCGGTGGTGAGGGGGGTGGCGGCAGTGGGGGTGGTGAGGGCGGGAGCGGCACTCCACAGTACTACAACAAGGGCAGTAAGAGTGGTGTGGGCAGTGGCGGCGGTAAAGGCGGTGGAGGTGGTGAGAGCAGTGGGGGTGGTGGTGGTGGTGAGGGCACTGGGGGCGTGATGCGGGCAGTGGGTAAAGCGGTGAGAACGGGCAACTTTTGCTTACTCTCTAACACACTCCCCAGACATCGAAGGGCCGTGGCGGCGGTAAGGGTCTACAAATACAGCGAACTCCACAGTACTACAAGGGCAGTAAGAGTGGTGTGGGCAGTGGCGGCGGTAAAGGCGGTGAGGGTGGTGAGGGCGTGGTGTGGGCAGTGGCGGCGGTAAAGGCGTTGGGGGTGGTGAGAGCAGTGGGGGTGGTGGTGGTGGTGAGGGCACTGGGGGCGTGGTGAGGGCAGTGGGTAAAGCGGTGATTACGGGCAACTTTTGCTTACTCTCTAGCACACTCCCCAAACATCGAAGGGCCGTGGCGGCAGTAAGGGCGGTGGTACATATACTCTCTAAACATCTACAAATACAGCGAACTCTACAGTACTACAAAGGCAGTAAGAGTGGTGTGGGCAATGGCAGCGGCAAAGGCGGTGGGGGTGGTGAGGGTGGTGGTGGTGAGGGCACTGGGGATACAGCGGTGAACGCGGTGGAAGTAGTGAAAACGGTGGGGGCGGTGGCGGTGAAGCGGTGGCGGCAGTAAAGGTGGTAAGACGGTAAGAGCGGTGGCGGTGGTGAGGGCGGTAGCGGCAGTGGGGGTGGTGAGAGCGGTGGGGGTGGTGGGGGTGGTGAGGGCGGTGGGGTCGAGCACACATTGGCAGGTTTTTATTCTCTCTTTATAACCACCTACAAATACAGCGAACTCCACAGTACTGCAGGGCAGTAAAGTGGGGTGAGAGCAGTGGGGGTGGTGGTGGTGAGGGCACTGGGGGCGTGGTGAGGGCAGTGGGTAATTGCTGCGTAAGATCATGAGCATCGGAAGGTATGCTCTTACCGAAGCTGGCCTGGCGAAGCTTTGGGAAACACCCCTTGATGGATGTGAAACCAATCACTTCGGGCCCCAAAGCTGCGTGCTTCCGTTGTTGCGCGTGCATTTCCATCGAGAGAGTGTTTTGCCACAGCTTTTGCCTGAGCAGACGCACACCTTGCAGGCGCCTTGAGTCACCAGGAAAAAGATAGTGAGCCCGACCGCTTGCTTTGATCCGCTACGCAGCGAATCTATAGCGACCTCGATTTCACCTGCCCTTCGCATGCATTGCAAGGTCACGAGGTTTCTCCACCATCAGCCTGCAGGGCTTTATTATATTTCGGACCCTTAAATCCCTGTCCTAAGTTTCGAAATAAAATAAACAACTCGAAAGACCCTAAACCGGCTCAACATGTACAGCTGCTCGGAGAGGCCTGATCAGATAGCGCCGAATCATGTTCGATTCGAAATTTCCCACGACGCATTTCTGCGCTGTCGGCTTCAATAAACCCAGCATATCTTCTTCACTGTAGCACTGATAGTGCCTCGGGTTCAGTCCTTAGTTGTGTAGGTAGCACGAATCCAAGCGGTGAGAACGGGCAACTTTTGCTTACTCTCTAACACACTCCCCAGACATCGAACACACCTCTCGGGATATCACTGGCGCCGCCCGCCACAGGGGTCGGCGGATTAGCACCCGAGTTACACCTCGGGGGAGGGGGCATGGTCTGCTGTCGCCGTTGAGACGGGGACATGGTGTTATTGATGTTGAAGCGTTGGGCGTGTTTGTCTTTGTGCTGTTGGGGTGGGGGTACAGCAGCGAAAAATAGCATGCCCCCCGCCACAACAGCACAAGGGACCAAGCAGCAACACAAAAGCACTCTTGCTCGGACCCTGGGTGAGGGGTCCACGAGCTTTCCGATTCGCAGCTGTCCAAACTCAGATTTCAGCAGCTGGGACCGATTGGCTGGGTGGGAAACCACTTGCTGTTCTGGATGGTTTTATCCCTTCCAAAGTCGGAAACGGTTCCTGTAGTTGGCTGATGGTCATCGAATGGTGATGTTTATTACAAAGCTGCGCACTTTTGACATCTATGCATATTTGGTGTCATGCAGAAGCTAGTCACTCCCGGTAACAGTGACAGTCCGAGGAATCGGTGTCACTTGCGCTCTTGCGATTTATGGACAGATTCGTTGAATAAACCCCTGTAAAAAGGTGTCGCAGGCAGTTTCTGGCAGCGCTCTTGGAAGCTTGTTACATGTCAAAGTCTCTTGTTGGGCTTTAGCTTTTTCCAATTTCAATCAATGTGGTCACACTGTGGAACCATTCCGGCCCAAGTTGAAGCACAGAGCTGGTATACAGTACCAATTGAAATGGTTGGACGAATCATGTTCTGAAAGTGAAGACAACTTGTGGTTTTGAACAAGTGTCGATGTTCATGGTTATAATTAGTATTAGTAACCATTACATGACTACTATCGTAACATTCTGATATCAATCTTCCAGCATTGCACCAGTATTGTACTCTTATCAAGGCACCATGCCATGACACATGATGAGATCCGTGATTCACATTGTAAGTAGACTTCGACCATACCTCAAAAGCAGTGTAACATCATTTGTGGGAAGTTGCGGATGGGTTTGCTTGAGCTTGGAATCGGCACTGTGCTCCCTGCGATTGGGATCCTTAGCTGCCATTGGGATTGACTTGCAAGATGCAGGTGATTCCAGTGATTCCAGGCATCCAGAAGTATCCAGTCAACCAGGAGAGAATGATCATGCTTGAGTAGATGAACCGATGAATATCGGATGCTGCCACAAAGTGTGACAGTGTCATGTTTGGCAAAAGTAAGCCAAGGATGTCGTGGTCCCATCATGTGGGCGAAATACCCATCAAAATGCTCAGCTCCTTGATGAATATGCCCATTCGCGGCAGATGTTTCTTGCTCCCGTGAGTCCAAAGTGTCCGAGTCATGGCATCCTTCCCTTGAGGATCAGCCGAGGACTCGGACGAAAGTTGCACACCCCATTCCAGAGAGGTACCACGAGACCAGAAATTTGGGATTAGTAACAGGGTTACCGCCATACACCTGTTTAAACATGGTTTTGCCCAACCCCGATTGGTATGATGTCGTTTCCCTGCCTGATGGATGTAGGATCCTGATGGATGTAGGATGCTTTCATCTATCTTCATCCCTTGGTCCATATGGCATGCTGAGTTTCTGCAGCGCGAAATACGCTTGCACACCGAGGCTGGTGTTCTGAAATTGCATCTCAGACGCTACGGAGGCCCAGGAGTTTCCTTTCCCTTGTGTGTCTTCCTCAGTTTTTTGTGTGCATCTGCGGGGTTGACTGCTTCTGCTAGTTGTGAAAAGAATAAGGATATGCATCCAGATAAGTTGATTTTAGCAGCACCCAGGTTCTACAGTGCTTCAAGAACATCAGCATGCTTCCAACTTGAACTGTTGATTCATGCTTGAGTCTCAGTGTGGCTCTCAGTTCTTGGTTGCCGACCCTTTTGCCGATTCAAAATTCATGTCTGTCGCCCACTTATCCTGGAAAGGCGGCGACCCTTCAAGAGTCCGCGTGAGAAGTTGCAGAGAGGTGCCCAGAAGAGGGGTGCGAGTAAAATTCAGTGACAGTGGCTCCCAAGTTGACACTGACGTTCTGGTCTCAATTTGAGGTTCATTTCCTTTAGCTGTTTCAGCCTTCACGTTTCAAACCATGAAATCCGTTTTTCTGAGGGACATTGGCACTCAGAATAAGCGGATACCAAGGACATCGGACAGGCTAGATGTTCCACTGAAGATTTGTGGCATGCAGGCGCCGATTCCCACGAAGGGTCTTGTGTACAGATTCAACTTAGCGTTGTTCTGGAATAAACATCTACCATTGCTGTCCCCAGCTCAAGCTTCACAATCATTTAGACGGCCACAGAGCCTTTTTGTGAGTAAGCGTTACAACGGGACGACTCAAATTTACTTGTTCATTTATCGCCTGCATGACTGAGGATTGAGGGCATGATTTGAGATTGCCGTCCCAACATTTTGACCTCCTCCTTGACTAATCTTCGTGGAGAATGAAATTTGTTCACCCAACTCGTCCTGACAATGAGCTGGCAACAGGCCCACCCGTGGCCACCGGAAGAGGCCGAGCCCTCGGCCAATGTGATCAGCTGTGCAAACCATGAAGCTCGTGGTCAGCTGGGCAACGCAGAACAACATCATAGAACTGTAAATAACCGAGCTTTTAATAACCGGGTTTTTGGAAATTATCAGACCTAATTAATGATGGCAGTTCAATGCTGATCGTGTCCAATTGTTTGTGCTTCCATGTTCTGGCTTTCAGGAGAATGAAGTTTTGCACCCTTCTGCCGCCATGTCTGACCCCGTCAAGTTGTCAGTGGGTGATCCTGAAGATTGGTCCGTGGGTGAGGAACGACTTCCGCCGAAGCCCCGTCCAGTCGATGCCAAAGCTGGTGCTGAAACCTATGAAACAGGCGAAGCTGAGGTGATTCGACAAATGGACAATCAACTCCTGAAGGAATTGGACCCCGAACTGCTACGAGGGGTATCCCTGACAGCTTGTCTCAGTGGATGGGGCAAACATTTTGCGGCGACTTCCACTAAAGGCAGGTATGAGGTCCAAGATCGCGATTGGGGTCTCAGCTTGAAAGTCTCGAAGCTTCATTTCTTCCTGAGCCATGATTGGAAAACCTCTCGAATCAAGAAAGTCATCGTAATGCTCATTTATTTCAATGCCCGCGCTGCCACCTTTGCAGCTATTGCATGTGCCATCATCGTCGGGCTATGCATTCACGCCAGGCACCTAGAAGGTCTTGACGTGGAAGGTGCTTCCGCGACAACTCTACTGACCCTGTTGCCCTACCTGGTGCTCTTCGTTTTTTTGTTCTTTTGGCAAAGGATCCGCAGCTTCTTTGGGAGACCAAAGATTGCTTTCTTTGACAAGCTGTGCACTGCACAACATGATCCACAATTGAAGGCCCAAGGATTTTTGGGCTTGGCTTCCTTTCTGGATCGCTCAGAGGAGATGATCATCCTATGGTCTCGGCGCTATTTCATAGTTTGTTTGCAGAAGGGAAAACCAAACCCCTCCCCTGCGAGTTAGTTAGTTTTTTCTCGAAGAAACAAACCCCAGCCGAGCGAGTTACTTAGTTCCCCCCCCCCCCCACCCACCCACCCACCCACCCCCCTCCCCCGAGGCATATTAGTCAGTTTCTTTCAGGAAAACAAATCCCGACCCCGAGTTGGTTGGTTTAACAGTTTAAACCCTGGAAGTAAACTTTTAGAATAAACTAACTAGCCTGCGTCACTTGTCCGGTGCAATTACCCACCAATCCCTCCCAAGATTCTGATGCGCTTGGAAACTATAGACCGCTAAGTACAGTCCCTGCCTCCTGCTTCCAACATTGCCGCCGGTGCTTTGGAAGGCCGGAAGAATCAGCTTGATGTTGCAGACGAGGCGAAGGCCACTACAGGGATCATTATAGCCCTTCTCCGGGAGACATGTCCTTAATCAGCATGATCTGGGGTATGATCTCGGATACCACCCTGCATGCATGGCGCTTGGTTGGTAATACCGGTGCCATAAAGGCTTCAGCATCCGTAGTCCCAGCAGGTGACACGTGTGTCCGATTCGGGCTGATGAATGCACCCACATGTTCCAAGAAACATAAATATACTCAGAACGGAGAGGAATTGTAAGCGCACTCGCAAGGTTTTCGTCACGACACTGACTTGAAGTCTTTTGGCGGGCCATGAAGCGCCCCATGGTTGGGTCGGCTTGCCCTGGTCACGACGTGAAGCGACAACATGTCAACGATACACACGGCGCCATGGCTTCCCAAATCACCTCAGCATCCACGACATCACTCTCTCAATTATCTCAGGCCTTCGAAGAGGATATGCTGTCCCAGACCACAGCACCGTTCGTCAAACGCGAACTTTTTTCTGTAGACAGCTGCTGGACCCCGCAAGAGCTTGGAGAAGATGGAGGCATGAAGCAGGAGTTATTGGAGGAAAAGAAGCAGGAAGCCGAGTTTGATAATGGGGACATCGGGGCATCCATTCCTGATGTCGCGGAGTTGTTGGAGGAAAAGAGGGATGAAGCCGCGTTTGACGATGGGCACTGCGGGGCATCCATTCCTGACGTCGCAGAGTGTTTCGAGGAAAAGAAGGAGGATTCCGACTTTGGTAATGGGGACTGCGGGGCATCCGTTCCTGATGATGTCGCGCAGGAGCCAGGGCAACCGCGAAAGAAGTTGAAGAAATACCTCACTGCTGGAGAGATTTTGGAACAGATCAAGAGTGGGCACTTCGAGTCTCTGGCATCTAGTCCACACCTGCAAAAGGACATCGGCATCAAGGACTCAGCATGGGAGAGGCCCGAGCAAGGTAAAGGGCTTCTTCGTGTTGGAGATTGCTAATGTTGTCCATGTTTCCCTCTTGCCCATGAAGTAATTCTCGAAACAGATAATACTCCCCCCAACTGTCTTTTGCATTAATTTCTGGCAAAAGCAGCAACTTATGAAGGTCCGTATATGCCTGAATTGGGGTGGTCCCCAAACAGCAGGAATAAGTTGGTTGGGGCATGTACAACCTCGCTACTACTTTACTCCGGGAGGCTGCCCGCCCGCGACTGCGTGCACAGTCTCATCGGACAGTACAACTTGGTCCGACAACCCCACGAGCTGTACCACTTCGAGTACAGTCGATCTCCAGAAGGCGTCACTGCATGGTTAGTTACGACAGGCTTCTTCCAGAGGCAGTTCAGAGGCTTTGCCAGGCACGGGTCGGGGGTTGGAAGCGGCAAAAAGAATAAGCCTGCCCCTTTCCTTGACAAGAGAGCTGCCGAGCAAGTGGCTTGTGAAGCGTTCAAACGAGATGCTCAAGTGCAAGAAGTACGGCAACTGCTTCCACCAAGGATGGACAGGATTCGAAACTTCTTCTTTCTTACTAAAGCCCAAAGAGATGAACTTGAAGAGTTGGGATATAAGCCGTCAGTTGTGCAATCGGACATCGCAAAGGCCATTTATAATGGCTTCAGGGCTCTCGGCTGCCGTAACGTGTTTTGGGACGAGCAGGATGGATTGTCAAAGAATGCAGCCTGACAGTTCCCAGCTTGGAGCCGTTTGTTCAGACCAGTAGACGCCAAGCGAGAGAAAAATGCGAGAAGGAAGATACAAGGACATCCAAACATGCGGAAGTCTCGTCATGCACGTCCATGCTGTACTGAGCACGTGTCAGGATCCACGCTAGCAGGCGGTGGCATGGACCGGATGGGCGACTTGGGTTGGCACCAGAGGTGGTCGTGGGGCACGATTCCACACATTGATTCCCTGCCACATCCCCAGCTTCAGGACAGAAAGGATCGGAATCGTGACAGCTGATAGCTGATTTGGGAGAAGAGTGGGCGGCCCGGAGAAACAGCCAATGTCACACATTGAGAAAGTTGAAGGAACCACGGTTGGTGAACATTCAGAAGCTGGGAGCTTGACCTTGTGTGCCAGGCTAGCACCCTCATATCGGAGACATCTTGCTCACTAAGGCATTTCTGTAATGAGCACCCTGCAGTGATGTCTCTGATTGCAGAACCGGCATGACCCTAAAACTTGCTGTTTGGAAGCAGGGGTGCTGGGCGTAGCCCTTGCATGATCCACGACTTCGCCATTGCTTCGAGGTGACAGCCGCTGACAAAGCTTCATCGCACAATCCCTCGCGACCTCTCTCGCCTTTATCCTCCGCGATGGAAGGCGCTCAATGCAAACAAGAGAGGCCGCCAGCCACATCCAAGGCCAGGTCCTTAATTGGGGCAGAGTGGCGTAAGTGGGACCCGGAAAGAGGACGGCAATTTTCAAAGCCACATCCGGAAGCCTAGGCCTGTGAGGTCCTTCGAACATCTCAGCCTCTCAGAGGATCTCCTGCAGAAGGCTCCGTCAGAGGAGCACCGAAGCGCGGCATTGCCTCGACCTTGTGGGGGGGCTCTTCGCAGGCATGCTTCAAGGTCTCATGTGACGGGCTTTTCTGCTAGGGCACAGTTATGCCACGAGAGTTGCATGCTGCACCATCTTGACTGTAGCGTTCCCGATAATCGCAGGAGATCTTGAAGATGGTCCCAGACATGATGTAAAGCAAGAATGCACCGCGAGAAACCTGCAAGAAGACTGCACAAGGCTGGATAAGCAAGGTGTGACACTTGGGTGGCCTCTTGCAAGTGGCAGGCTTACAATTTCCCATTGTCATATGGCACCTGCGCACATTTGGGACCCCGAAAAAGAATCAGTGTTTTTGACCGTTATCGACAGGTTATTGCGTAGTTTTGGTGGCTGGCTTGAGCAACAGATGCCAATTCAGTCTTGCAGGGTTGGCATCGACTTTGTATACTCTGTGTTGTGTGGTTTTATCGAGTTGCAAGTGATTTTCGTTTTAGCTAGTCGAATCACGCCCAAACACCACAGCCAGCACCCCCTTTTTGTGCAATTACCTCAAGTCCAACAGCTTCACTCAGTTTTGAAGATACACGTGCTGCGACAGCACTCGGCACAAACAGTTGTTGATTTTCCTAAGGCTCCTTCGGACCTTGACGTATCGTATCCCCGGTTCGATCGGCCGAAAAGAATGCAATGTTCGTGCATTGCTCAGAAGTTTATGCTTGCACCCCTCATCTTGCCATTTGCTTGCTGATGTGTTCGCAAGGCGGGCGAGCTGCAGGCATCCTTGAGCCGCGCATTTGTCCAAGCATTTGCGAAGCGTTGGAAAGCATGAGCGATGATAGACGTAAACGTTGGAAACAAGTTTTACGACTGCTGCCAGACATGTGCGATTTTGCCAACATGTGTGAAATGTGCCTGAGAGGTTTCCATAATTCAGCCTAGCTGTTTGAGGTGTTGCTCCGAACGGCTTAGGTCCAAGAAATGGTTGTGTTTCTGGGCGTGAGTGAATCGAGTCTTATCAAGCTTGCGAGTCCTGCAATTCCACACTCCGGGTTAACAAATGTTTCTCGCACCGGCAGCAATTCCATTCAGGCACGCATCAATGCCGTGGCGCTGAAAAGAAACGACCACGGCAGCGTGGCGGAGCAGGGGATGCCAATCAACAACAAAAAAATTCAATCAAAAAACATGTTTACAATCAAAAGAAACTTTCCCGTTGCAATAGAAGGAAGAAGAGAGTACGGAACAAAAGAAGGCAGGAGGGAAGGCAGGAAGGAAGGAAGGAAGGAAGGCGGGGAGAAACGGCGAGGAAGGAAGGTAGGAAGGAAAGAAGGAAGGCAGGAAGCAAGCAAGGAAGCGAGGCAGGAAGGAGGGAAGGAAGGCAGGAAGGAAGGAAGGCAGGCAGGCAGGCAGACAAGAAGGAAGGCAGGAAGGAAGGAAGGTGGGAGGAAAAGAAGGAAGGCAGGAAGGAAGGAAGGACATTGGACAGCAAGGACAGCCGGAACGCAGGAAGAAAGGACGCAAGGAAGGAAGACATGAAGGCAGACAGGGAAAATGGAAGGCAGACTGGGGCAGCACTCGTCGAGTACTACAGGCAGTAACAGGACTACGAGTACTATGATTACTATTCTTCATCTTTTTCTACAACAAAAACAAACCACCACCACCACCACTACTACTGCTGCTACTACTACTACTACTTCTACTACTACTACTACTACTATGTACTACTACTACTACTGCTACTACTACTACTACTAGCACTAGTACTACGGTTGATGATATAAATCCTGCATTACTTTAAGGACCCTAAACTATGGGAATTATGGTATATTCCTCATTATGGGTAATGCAGGATGTATATCATCAACCGTAGTAATGGTACTACTGCTATTACTACTGCTACTACCACCGGTACTACTACTATCAGTACTCCTACTACCAGGACGCCTACTACCAGTACTCTGACTACCAGTCCTACTAGCCGTACCCTTACGACTATTCCTACAACAAGTACTACTACTACTACTGCTGCTACTACTACGAGTACTAGTACCAGTACTACTACTGCTGCTACTACTACTACTACTACTAGTACTACTACTGCTGGTACTGCTACTACTACTCCTGCCACTACTACTACTTCTTCTTCTACTAGTACAACTACTTCGACTACTACTACTACTGCTATTATTACTACTACTACTACTACTACTACTGCTACTACTAGTATTAGTATTACTACTACTACTACTACTACTACTACTACTACTACTACTACTACTACTACTACTACTACTACGACTACGACTACGACTACGACGACGACGACTACTACAACAACAACTACTACTACTACCACCACTACTACTACTACTACTACTACTACTACTACTACTACTACTACTACTACTGCATGTTTTGATGGGGACGAAAGCACCGGATGCTCATGGTTTCGCTTTTAAACATGTAGAGTTGTTTTTTGATTTTTTTGATCGGTCAGAAAGTTTTTTTTGACGAACGTTTTTTGATTGAAAATAGGTTTTTGTTTCATGGGTTTCCCCGCAGAGCAGGCGGCATCTTTATGATCTCGCACTGTTACGTAGAAGTAGAGCCGCAATGAGCAAAGCTCTTTCTGTCGGGCTGTGTTGGGAAGGCCGTGTTTGACTCGGCGACCGCCGGCTCCTACGTCGCCGACACGCGCTCTGGAGGATGCCAACGACGTTTTTCACAAGAGAAGGCCCGGGAAACAGAACTGTAGCCTTCTTCCTGACTGCATCTTACAAGCAACGGCTGTGAGATTCATGGGTGTCGTCGGTTGTGTCTTGCTTGCGCATGCAGATGTGAAGAGAGAGACGGCATTCAAGCCTTCGGCCCAACTTTTTGCAATTTGCCAGAAAGAAGTATTGCCGTACATGTATAATACGTGACTTATGTCCGCGAAGCTGGCTCGTTGTTGTGTTTTTGCGTTTTGGCCTAGAGCTTTCAGCCGCTAAACCTCAAGCCGTGCCGTACGCCCGAGTTCAAGACGTCTTGTGCTTCAAGGGTTTTATGCCGTAAGCTTCAGCATGCTGCAGCGCAGCATAAACCCTCCAAGCTGACTCCGGCAGTGATCCTGAGATTCAGAACTTGACGGACGAACTCCGTTGGTATTATTCGAAAGAGCGCGGCGGAATGCAGAGGCAGGACGGTCAATCGCAGATCTCACGTAGACTCAAAATCTTTGCCAGGGGCGACTCCCGGACCGAGCCTTTGTTTCAGCTGGAGGCTGCGGCTGGCCTTGTTTCACACGTTTTTTTGTTGGTAGGGGTCGTGGCGTCAAGATGATAAGCAAGCACAGTAGCATCTCAACATCAGTCTTCGTCTTGCAAGACAGGTGGGCCCTTTTTCGGTGAGGGTGTTGAGAATTGTACATAGGCTCAGTTCAGGAGAGTGAAGTCGGCTTCATGTGCACACTTCGTGAGCAGGCGGTAGCCGCAGCTGTCTGGGCAATGGCTTGCGCGACAGCATGACAAGTGGGAACCGTGCGTCTCTACACCCCGCACGCCACCTCGAAATTGAGACAGCCTCAACCGCAAAGTGACCGACATTAGCGTTCGATCTGGTCTGAAGCCATCACATTACGTGCCAATAGCTGTGCCCAAAGTTCTGAATTCTGCCGAAGCTGGCATTCAGCTGCGCTGATGTCCTCGCACATCCGTCCCTTGCCTGCCCACTTGCCAAATCCAGAGTTCTCCAGACTGCAAATACCACTTAGGGTGTCAAAGATTCATTCAGTTTGCAGGACCATGTCATCGCATAGGCCCCAGTCGCTGTGGGAGGCCTGGTTGCTGTGACTGTCACGTAAACCCTAAATCGCAGATTCAAGACCCCATATAGCCCCCATAGACGGCAGCCCCAAAATAACTGGTTTGGTAGCGAGAGCTAGTGAGAGCTAGTGAGGCTGTTAATGAATCCCTGGCTAATGTGCTGGGATGGGCCAATGCGCCGTCGTCGGTACTGGAATCCTCGCTGTGGTATGTCCGAGAGTGAGTGCTGAAATGAGTCATTTTCATAGGTGGCCCACGTCCACTGTTACGTTCTCTGGGTTCATTTGTTCACGCACGTCGGCGTATTTTTACGCACACACGCACACGCACACGCACACGCACACGCACACGCACACGCACACGCACACGCACACGCACGCACGCACGCACGCACGCACGCACGCACGCACGCACGCACGCACGCACGCACGCACGCACGCACACGCACACACACACACACACACACACACACACACACACACACACACACACACACACACACACACACACACCACACACACACACACACACACACACACACACACACACACACACACACACACACACACACACACACACACACACACACCCACACACACACACACACACACACACACACACACACACACACACACACACACACACACACACACACACACACACACACACACACACACACACACACGCAAGGTTCCAGTGCACACCCTTCAACCTTCAACCTGCGATGAAGCAGTTCAAAAATCCAGATTTGGCACATGGGAGGTTGCATGCCTGAGTCCTCTCCGAGCTGAACCACGCGCCGATGCTCAGGCTTTGCTGCGCAACCTTCCAGGATTCCATGCCCACAAGGGATTCCGCTTGTTGGCAGGTTGTGGGCTGGAAGCAAACAGGCTTTCTTCCTCACAGTCTTCTCTCAAGCGTGTTATACTTGGACTTAGAGGTGCAGCCGCAGGCATGTTTCGCATGGCAGTTGAACGTGTGTGGTCGGGAGATCACTGCGGGCTGGTTGGAGATGGCCAATGACATGGGATGGCGAGCTTCTGAGGGGAAGCGTTCCTCCTTTCGCACGCAATCTCGCAAGTCGTTGCATGCACACTTTGTCTCCAGGATTGAGATGTGTGCGCTCCGAGACAAGGCGCTCATCACTCCGGTATCTGGACTATCTGAGTTTTGTGCGGTTTCTCGCGTTCGAGTTTGACAACACTCATATGGGAAGGACTCTGTCTGAGGTGCCAGCCGCAAGGAATCCCACCGATAGTGGCAAGGCATTCGCGCGAGTTTGTGCGCCAAACTCAGCATCGTTGGACTGTCGAGCTGCATCATGCACACATATACGCATAATATCTAATTACACCAACGCAATACAGTCCCAGCTTTGCTTTGCAAGACAACTGCCCGCTGTCAGCGGGGTCTAGACGGGCAGCTGCTATTCGCGCAGAAATGCTCTTTTTTTGCAGTTTCCGATTTCTGTTTTGCATGAAGCGAAAGTGGGTCGGAAATCCGGCCAGATGGGTCTCCAATTCTTTGCTACAGTTTAGAACGCGACGAGATTTCGGCGACGAGGGCATGGAGAACTCACACGACTGCGTGTTGAAAAGTGCTGAATTTGCCATTGCTGGCCCGGCTTCAAGAGCCCATGACAAGCTAGGTTGTGCACACAGACGCAGGTAATCCCGCATTGCGCTCAGCCACAGGTAACCGCCCCGAATGGCGAGACCAGCTAAGCAGCAACATATCAGGTAGCTTGCGCTCTTCAGACTGCTCCTATTGCTGGTAGAGCAAGTCGTGCGCAATCCAAACCCAACTTGTTGGTATGCACTTGATGCTCGAAGCAGGGAAAATTCTGGCTCCGTTATAAGAGTCTCCCGCATACTGGAGTGCAGCCACAGGTATGCATTGAAAGCTTGTGAGTATGTTGCATAGCTCTGGCTGCCCTAGAACTGAACGTGGAAGACAAATCTAAGGTGGGCAGTGTCGCTGGGTCACCTTTGCGCCACAAAGGTTCTGCAGCTCACGGCGGGCGCTTCAGTCAGATTCCCCCGTAGTGTGCAGATGTGAACAGTATATGCCATGGTTGCTCTGTGACAGTAGCCGTATGGGAAGTGTGTGGCAGTGTTGTCGTGCTTTTTCAGTCTTCCACCTCTTGGGTTGTTGAAGATCATTCTGTTGATTTGGTCATGTCCATGGCCGTGTCATGCGCCCTGTGGATGTTAATGCTTGGGCCGGCATGGCGTCAGGGGTCGTTACTAACAGGAGCCAGCCATGCACGCTCGGACAATTCTGAAACAAAGCATATTCATTCTTTCCTGGACTGGGTCCTAGGAAAGGGGAGGGAGAGAAGCATTGGGGCTGGGGCTTGACTTTCGGTTTAGAGCTTGCGGACAAAATCACGCTCCACGAGTTCTCACACGGCCTGGTAAAGAACACTTACCTTTCCGCCGATGTGTTCAGTCGACAGTACCTGCGATGCAACATCCCATCACATGGTGCTCGAGTTACACCGCCGTCACCACAAGCCCCTATCTATAACTCGGCTATTTTCTCGGAACTGAAAGCTATTATGCTTGCTGCAGCGGCAGTACCCTAGGAAAAAGACCCCCGAGTCCCCCGCGTCACACACACACACACATGCACATTGGATTGAATGTCCTCTTCCCGCTTTCGCTATGTGAGTTCTTTGTAATTCACGCCTCCGTCTGTGCCCGTGTCCTGCCACGAGGCAGCTCTTTGCATTCTTCTGCGGCTTGAGCACGTGGCTTCTTCATCGGGGCTTTGCACGCTTCCAAGGTGTGGACTGCAAGCCATGCGCCTTCTTCCACTCGCGTCAGGGATGCAAGAAGGGCCAGGACAGGTTACAGTGCCAAAGCATTTGGAAAAGACAACTGTGGTAGACTAGGGCCTTGGCAGGATTGTCGTTTTTGCCATGCGTGCGACCCCGCAGCTCGAAAGAGAGCGTGAACCTTGGGCTTTAGTTCGGAGACGAGTCCGTGAGGATTTTGCGAGCTATCCGCGCTGGACAGTTTGACACAGAAGCTGGTTCAAGTGAGGCAGGTTTTGCAATTCTGCATGACCACGAGAGGCAAAAAAAGACGCTGTTCAAAGTCTACCTCCCTTGCGTGCAGGGAACCCAGAGCTGTGTCCTCCTTTGCCGCAGCTGTCAGCATTCAACAGTCCATCGGTCCACCTGTTGCGTGCAAATGCTTTGTGCAGGTTGGGAGGTCGATGCCTACTCGGCCTACTCACCGAAGCAGCCGAAGGGCCTGGCAGGTCTCAGCAGAATTCACGATTTGCACCAAAATCAATGATTCAATTGGAGTCGTTCATATCTCGATCTTCTAGCCTTCACGTTTACATTTACAGCCAGGGTGCAATGCACGATCTGAAGCTGGTAGATGCTGGTAGGCGCTTGCATGCCTCGTGTAGAGAGTGACGATAGCTGCTGCCGCTCGGCGGAGCTTCGAGCTTCTGTCACTCCCGTCTCACACCTTTTCAATCGTACCAGGGGGCACATCAGGGGGACAAGACCGAGATAGCGAGCCACTTGTGATCACCCACATGGTATGCAAAGCCAGCATGGTGGAGATCCATGTGTGCGTCGGTACCGGCGATTGCTTCAGACCTGGGAAGGCGTGACCGTGGCTCAGCTCTTCCGTTGCAGACGCCCAAGCTTGTTGTACAGCATGGGGCCTGAGACAACCACACGTGCTGGACAACTGCATTACATTTTGTCCTCGCACCAAAGCGCGCACTTCGACCGTGCGAGTTTTGGCACATGGCAGATTGAGGCCCATGTAGTCTCGCAGCAACCGGTGCCACGCCGGCGCTGTCCTGACTATTCAGTGCTGCAAGGCGCTGTCCTGACCATTCTGGGGTCAATCTTCATCGTGGGTGAAAATCTTGGTCTTTGGGATGATGAAATGCTTCTCCTCGTTGCGCGGAGTGGTGAGACGGTGCGGTGCGTGAGTATGAGGCTGGCGTGGCGGTATGTCGTAGCGAACAGCAAGCATTGACAACAGGGTTTCTTGCGGTGGCTGCTACGTAAATCTTGTTATTGCTTTTACATTCTCTGTGGGGTGTTAGCTGTTCGTTCGTGTTCGTTCGACCCTTTGACGGTGGTCAGCCCATCCTTTCCTCGCACATGCAATATGCACACACGGACTGACATATACGTACCGCACGCACAGTCACAGCTAAGCTAAAGCTAAGATTGCATCGGCCCTCGCCCCAGCATTGGCAGGTGGCGAAGGGCCTGGATGCAGTAGACTCTCCTTGGCCGAGCAAACTCGGGGAGGCCTTGCCAGCCTTGACCTTGAACAGTTGTGGCCCCATGGGGCCTCCTGAGGCGAAGCCCGAAGCAGAAGGGAGGCCTGCTGCAGCCCAAAAGTGCCAATGCACTCGGAAGCGCATGCTGTCGTGCAGCGGCCTGCACGTTGATCCGTATTGACCCCCTCAGGCAAGGCCCAGACAAGCGGCGCTGCCGAGCCGCAGAGTGGAAAGCTTCAGTCAGGGCAAAAAGCATCATGCACAAGTACAAGCTTGGTAAGTTGCACGTATGCCCTTCAAGCAGGGTGTGCATCGGGGTCGCGATCGATCTCACTGAATGCTGATGTCAGAAATCTCCGCTGTTTGTTGCCAGTGCACTCCTCAACTTGTTTGTGACATCAGGCGCACTGGTTTCGAAATCTTGTTCAGCAGTTCAGCGAGCGAAACTGTCAGCACGGAGGAGTTCCAATAGTTGGCACAACGAGACGTGATGGCCATAGGGGAGCCGCGAGCCATACGTTTGCGTATGGTATGTGTCATAGCATTACTGTACGATGCAGAAGCTAGAGCTAAAGCCGCGCATCGTCATCATCTTGTCCATCGCCTGCCCCTTCCGGTGTTCTGCCGGCTCCATCCCCCAGAGCCCAGGTAGTTTGCACAGTGAGGCTATGTCCATGTGAGGGAGGTCCGCCAGTGCTGGTCCAGAGCCCAGTAGCTTGAAGCATCACTGGCCCGTCTGCCTTGGTAGTCGGGCCGTAGAGCCTGGCTCACCCGAAGAAAGGCTTCGCTCTTCCGGGTCACAAGTTGTAGTCGTTCATGGACTCTCCCCGTCTTCTACGAGTCCCCTGGAAGTAACGGCCCAGGAGGTCCGTCACCTTGACTCTTGGTTTCCCCAAGTCATGCTCCGCCGACATTTCCCAGCCACCAAGCGCTTAGCAGTAGCAGCTCCAGAGAGCTCTGCCATCAGGCGAGGAGACGCGCTTGTTGTAGATCGCGCCTTGCTCCCACAACAGAGCAGCTGCATCTTGTTTTGTCACAAATGAAAAAGCCTCCACCATTCCAAGAGGGCACGCCGTCCTTGGAGCGACCCGCGTGACCATCTTTCTCACTTGCCCCGTTCTTTGTTCTCGGCTTCCGCCGAGCCCACTAGGGTCCCCGGATCGATGTCGGGACACCCCCAAACAGGATGGCTCGGCTACCATGCGAGCGGATCTAGCTGTAGAGGATGGCAAGTTTTGTGGTTGTGGGCCGCAATGGGGGGGTCTAGGTAGGCCTTAAACGTGAAACAGATTGCAATGCCTTTTCAATCGAGCGCGATCCTTCGTGCACAGCTCTGGGCTTTATCATTACCGAGCCAAGAGTCGTTGAGGCGTTAGGGGTTTACGGTTTAATTAGTGATTGAGAGGTTTAGGGTTCAGGGGTTAGATCGAAAAGGGTATAGACATGGCGCTTATGGGATGTTCGATGTGAACGCACCCTGACTTGACCATGTATAGAAGCCATGACCATGACATGCATGTATTGTATATATCTTGATCCGCTGCCGTTAGGGCCCTTGAGTCTACCGTGTAGCTTCGCAGTGAAGGTGAAAAAGCCCGCCAATCTCAAATTGGTAGCGGAGCAGGTACCCCCAGACGGGACCTGCGTCTGCGGGGCAAGTAACCTGTAGCCTGTGCTGGGCCTTGGAGGGCCCGAACCTACCTCTTGCGCACTCCCTTTCGAACTTTCAAACTTTCCATCGAACTCTCTCGCCCACCATGTCCGTGGCCGGTCTTCGATTCAGTCGCTCTACGTATTCGAGTACTCCCGTGGAGACTCGCAGCGGGAGCTACATCTATGATGGCACCCCCAGTACGTTTCACGACTGGGAGTTTAGGACCTCTATGAGGCTTAAGCTGTATGAAGATGCTATCAGAAGCAAATCCAAGAAGACCG